GTTATTTAGAGATTTACCCTATCCTTGAGTATCCTGTTTACAGTTCTATTACTAAATGCTCAAGCATTTAGAGGTAAAGCAATACTTTTCTCTTATATCCTATTGCTGCATTACTTACCCAAAACTTTGAATCCAACACTGGGTTTTGGCAACTCTTTCACTGCTATTTGTTGAATTAAAAGTGACAAACTAAGTAAATAGTATTGCATTACCTATTGTATCACTATTGGAAAATTTCAAATAAAAGTTTAGAACATCAGTATTTTAAAGAAAATGTCTCAACTGTTCCGATTATAGAGCTACGATATAAAAGTTAATATTTAAATTTTAGAAGCCTCAAAATTAATAATTATTTAATATAAGTGTATAAATCTTCTTGCAGACATTAGTTAGTTGTTCAAGAGCAAATAGAAGTAACTGATTTTCTAAACATTAGCAAATTACAAAACTATTCAGAGTGTGCCTTTGAAACTACCACCCTCGTGGGATGCTGTAATTCATTATTTTTCATCATTAGTTTCACAAAATATTATTTCATCAGTTTGCTTTGGCAGAATGTTTGTTGGCTAAAAGTTAATTGGATTTTCAAGTCACATTTAAGACTAATAATTTCCACATGCCTAATACTTCCATTTTAAAAAAAGGAAATATTTGAGTAATCAAATACTTGAACTACAAATTTTGAGAAGTAATAAACTGCTTTTGTTTATTGTAGAAATGTCAATATAAATATTATAGCAATTGCATTTAACAAATATTTCAGCATAAGAGACATTCTCTACAAGAACAAAGAAGACATTATTTATTGCCGTATGTTACACTTAAACACTAAAAGTATATTTTATTGGCATTGCTTTAGTTGGATGATTATCCCTAGTTATATATGCAGATGATTGTTAACAGAAATACTAAAAGTATATTTTATTACCATACATTACTCTTAAATACTAAAAGTATATTTTATTGGCATTGCTTACCCCTAGTTATATATAGAAACCAGGGGTGTCAAACTGGGTCAGATCTGCATTGTAGTTCTCCGAAGGCTGGCTGGGGTGGGGGGAGATGGGACGAACAGTCTCCTGCAGCACCCTGCTGCCCAGAGGCACCACAGGCCGGTCCTTTGCTATTTCCAGGCCGGCATCGCGGGCAACATTTAAGGGAATTTGACACCCCTGATATAGACGATTGGTTAAGAGAAATTAGTAAACAAATAAGTTCATGTACAAAAGCAGGTAGTCCTCAACTTACATAATTGATCCTGCAATTATGGTTGTAAATTGTGATGTTCATGTGGCTGTGCCTGATTTCACAAACTTTTTCCAAAGGGTTGTTAAGCAAACACAGGGGTTATTAAGCGAACCCATTGTTTGCTATGAGTGCTTTTTGCCAAAAAATAAATGCCAGTTTCTTGCAATGTCATAAATTGTGGTCACATGACTGCAGACACTGCAAATGGCCATAAATGCAAGTTGGTTGCCAAGATCCTAAGATGTGATCATGTGACCAAGGGACTGTCAGAACTTCAAATCTGGATCATAAGGTTCAAGATTGACTCAGCCTTCCATCCTTCCAAGGTGAATAAAATGAGGACCCAAATTGTTGTGGGCAATATGCTGACTCTGTAAAACCACTTAGAGAGGACTGTAAAGCACTGTAAAGCAGTATTTTAAGTCTAAGTGCTATTGCTGTAAGTATCTTTCGGTGTAAACTCTTTCAATAAGTCCAATGTAACTTTGAACAGTCACTGAGTAACCAATCAAGGACTATCTGTATACCATTTCCCAGTATATTTGTATTTATTTATATTTTACACAACACAGGTGCATAATTCCAATCAGAGGTCACCTTTCTCATTATATGGGATGTTGCAAGCATCATTCAAAAAACAGGCAGGAATAGGATCTTAAATATTACTTCAGGTTCTCCTATCTTATAAATACAAACACTGTATATCTCTTTAGCAAAATCAAAAACAGAAAACAAATTGAATGTATTTGCTCACCAGTAGATGGTGGTACAATACTCAGTAAGAGTTTCAATACTGACAATTTGATTTTAATCTTAAATTGGACTAAGAAGCTTATACATACATTTTTGAGAAGAGGGGACAGATGGAAGTTTTCTGTTCGCTCAGTAAGTTATCAGTATTATATTCTCCTCGTAATAACAAAATATAGCTTATTTTTAAAAAATAAAGGAAGTTTGGAAGAGAATGGATGCACGAAATTGGGAAAAAATAATGTAAAGAGAAATTACTTTTTGCAACTTCTGTTCATCCACGCTCTTCCAGACTTCTTTTATCTTTTTATAAAATAAGTGGACTTGGGGTGCATCCTACTATCTTGTTGAACTGCATGTGGTTCTGATTACTCCATTTGCATTGATTTGCAAGGGTTAAAGCAATAGCAATAGTAATTAAACATATATTCTGTCCACAGTGCTTTACAGCACTTTTTGGGCTTTTTACAGAGTCGGCATATTGCCCCCAGCAATCTGGGTCCTCATTTTACCGGGATAGAAGGGTGAGTCAGGATCAAACTCCTGGATGTGGACAGTTAGATGCAGTACTGCATTCTAACCACTGTACCACCATTGCTGTGGTCCGCCAGCAGCCTGCAGAGCTGGCAGCAGAGTCAGACAGTGAAGAGATTGAGGAAGAACATGGCCAGTCCTGGAGGCTGGGGAAGGCCCGGATGAGGGCTCTGCGTCGGAGGCACAGATGGAGCCAGGGCCATCCGGGAGTAATGTGCAGACTCCAGAGCCTCCAGAGGCTGACAGCAGAGAGACAGAGGAACAGGAGGAGCCTGTTCCTAGTGCACACATGAGAAGAGCTGCCAGAAGACAAGAGCAGCTAAAGGAAAAAGGACGACTCGGGAGTAAGGCCGAGATTGGCTCCTCCCATAAGGCTTAAAAGAGCAGCAACAGTTTTTGGGCTCTTTATCGGAAAACAACGTTGATAGATTTGTTTCTTGTCTTGCTGCATTTATTTCTTGTTGGCGTCTTCGGCTTCTGAACTTTTGCCAAGAAAAGCCTTTGGCAGGTTGCCTAATTAGACCAAGGTTGGTGATAAGGCTGAAGAATTGTGTTATGAACAATTTGTTTTGAATTAGTTTGGACTACGCCGAGAATGAGTTAATTCTCAGCTGTTCTAATAAAGTCTGTTTGTTTCGAACTGATTGCATCTGATAATACCTACTTGGGCCTGGGTCACAACTGTGACTTTTAGCAAGCAAGATATATTGTTATTTCTGGCAATCCTTTTTGGACTGTTTGGACTGAAAGATGTTTTATGGATTTCTTTATAGATAAGAGATGGGACATTAGATGAAGAGATAAATGTTTGTAACCTTAAAAAGAGTGAAGAGTTACTAAATTTGTTTATACTTGTGATGAATGTTGTAATTTACTTCTTTATGTATTTCTTTCTTTATTCTTACTTTTCTGTTCTCTCTTTTTCTTTTTTCCTTATATTTTCCATAGGCTAAATAAATTTACTTGCACATAGTTTTTATTCTCTTTTCTTTGTTTGTTTAGTTTGCATGTTTTAGTAATATAATTAAAATTCATTTTAAAATTTTTCTACACACAGAGAGAAAAACACGCTAGATAATCCATGTCCCATTGGATCTTTGTTTCAGAAATGTTTTTTTACTAGATTCCTCAATGCCTTCAACACAGAGCTTCTTATTAACTGTCTTCACTGGGAAAATTGGGATATATTCAGAGAAGTATCTGCCTTGAAAATAGCCCAATATGAACAATATAGCACAAATATCAACACACTGCAAAAAAATTTGAGATTTTCTATTACGGCATAAACAGATTCGTGATATGTTTATGTAATTATTATTTTTTTTACAAAACTGGTCAAATTTCAATCCATGGGAGTCATGGGTCTATAAGTTTTCCCCTGTTTGTTCAAATGTTACTGTATTTGTTGTTGTATAATTGGCTACAATATATTATGTTAAAGTACAAAAATGAGGCTATATGTTAGAGCCAAGGTGGCGCAGTGGTTAGAGTGCAGTACTGCAGCTTCTTCAGCTGACTGCTAGTTCAGCAGATCAGCAGATCAAATCTCACCGGCTCAAGGTTGACTCAGCCTTCCATCCTTCCGAGGTGGGTAAAATGAGGACCCAGATTGTTAGGGGGCAATATGCTATTTAGTATACTGTCTTTGGTGTAAGCCGCCCAGAATCCTCGGAGAGTGGGCGGCATAGAAATATAACTAATAAATAAATAAATAAATAATAAATCTTATTCTACCACACTAAAAAGTCAGAAGTTAACACTTTTTTTCTTTTTTCCCTTTTAGGGTACACTTTTTCCTCTTCCATTTTTCCTCCCCTATTTCCTCAATTTTTTTCGTTGAATTTTGATAAATTAATAAAAAAATTGGAACTAGAAAAGTTTACTGCATTAATAGATAGCAAAAGCATCAATATAAAATATGAAATGTAATTATCTATGGGAAGTCCTAGTTGGCTATTACAATAGCAGCAGGGACCATATATTGCAATAGTTTCTATCAGTTACCATTTTTATTTTGCAACTTAAAAATGAAATATATATAGAGCAGCTAAATGCTTCTTCAAATATAGTATATTTGTCAAGGGGAGACCTACTTTGGCAGACAAATATATTCCTGAAAAATCCCAGATTTCTCATGAAAAGTTAATTTTAATTCTAAAATTGTGCACAAATGCTCTCTGAGGTTATTTTTGTTTTCCATAAACTAGGTTTGACGTTTGTTGAATACTTTCCTCTCTCTAGTGTTTTTACTATGCGTATATGGAGAACTAGAATGAAAGCCTATTTTTTCCTCCCTATTTTTATAAGGGTTAGAGATATTTCCTTTCTAGCTTGGAGTTGACGCATTAAGACTTTGATGCTGCAGATGTGTGTGTTATATCTTATTCTAAATCTTGTGTGTGTTGGTATAGGAAATTTGTTAGTATATATCAGTGAAAAATTAATTTTGTGTTTCTGTTTTCTTTTAGAAAATATCCTTATAACCTTTTGCGCCGATATGGAATCAATTTCTATGATGGGAAGTCCTAAAGTCTTAAATGAATCTTTCTTACCAAATGGCAGAAATTACATCAAAGACACCAGTAAGCTTACAGTTGGCATAATTGGAAGTGGGGACTTCGCTAAATCCTTGACAACTAGGCTTATCAGATGTGGGTTTCATGTGGTAATAGGAAGCAGAAACCCTAAATTTGTGACGGAATTCTTTCCCCATGTTGTTGATGTCACTCATCATGAAGATGCTATCGCAAAAGCAAACATAATTTTTATCGCTATACGCAGAGAACACTATGCAGCTTTGTGGGACCTCAAGCATCTTCTTGTTGGTAAAATCCTTGTAGATGTCAGCAACAACATGAAAATTAACCAATATCCAGAATCCAATGCAGAATACCTGGCATCCCTTTTTCCAGATTCCTTTGTTGTTAAAGGGTTCAATGTTATTTCAGCATGGGCATTACAAGTAGGACCAAAAGATGCAAGCAGACAGGTAAGTTATGCATTTCAGCACTTAAAACAATGAAAATGATGATCAAGTATACATGAGAAACCCTTTGAAGCAGGGGTGAAATGCTATCTGTTCGGACTGGTTCGACCGAACCGGTAGCGATGGCGGTGGGTGGTTCGGAGAACCGGTAGCAAGGGCAGCATGAGGCTCCACCCGGTCATCATTACTTCCTGGTTTTAACCAAGAAGTAACCTGTTTTTTACCCTCTGCGCATGTGCAGAAGGTTTGTGGATGTGCAGAGGGTCTGTGCGCGCATGTGACGCGCGCATACTTTTGAACTGATAGGGAAGGTAAGTAGATTTCACCCCTGCCTTGAAGCTTCCGCTACAAAATGCTGTAATTTTTCATATAAGACTACCTAAAAAATGAAATGAGATTATTTCTCATCTTTATGATTTGGCAACTTCAGCATTCAATTTTATCACAAGGGCAGAGGAGAGTTTCAGATTGAGAGCCTCATTTGATATTTGATTGGCTCATCAATGCCAGTGCCTGGAGGCTGTGAGGGTCTGGATGGGAGTCAACAGGCTCAGACTTAACCCAGACAAGACCGAATGGCTGTGGGTATTGCCTCTTAAAGATTATGTTGATTGTCCATCCTTGGTTCTGGGGGGGGAGAAACTGTCCTCCTCAGAACGGGCTCGCAATTTTTTATTTTTATTTATTTTTATTTATTTATTAGATTTCTATACCGCCCTACTCCCGAAGGACTCAGGGCGGTGCACAGCCAAACAATAAAAACACATACAATACAAAATTTAAAAAATAGAATAAAATCAAATTAAATAATTTTGGCCCCGACAAATTTAAAACCCCAAACTTTTAAAACCAATTTAAAATTGAATATATAAATACTAAAAAATATTTAAAATTTTAAAAATCTTTTATAAAAGAGGGGGAAAATTAGGCCAGGCCGGCCTGGTGAAATAGTAAGGTCTTTAAGGCGCGGCGGAAGGTGCGCAGATCCGGGATCCTCCGTATCTCTGGGGGGAGCTCGTTCCAGATAGTAGGTGCCCCCACAGAGAAGGCTCTCCCCCTGGGGGCCGCCAGTCGGCATTGTTTGGCTGACGGCACCCGGAGGAGCCCCTCTCTATGGGAGCGTACCGGCCGGTGGGAGGCTATTGGTGGTAGTAGGCGGTCCCGCAAGTACCCGGGTCCTAAGCCATGGAGCGCTTTAAAGGTGGTAACCAAAACCTTGAAGCGCACCCGGAAGACCACCGGGAGCCAGTGCAGCTCGCGCAGGAGAGGTGTTACATGGGAACGCCATGTCGCTCCCATTACCACCCGCGCGGCCGCACTCTGCGCCAGTTGGAGCCTCCGGGTGCTCCTCAAGGGGAGCCCCATGTAGAGAGCGTTGCAATAGTCCAGGCGGGAGGTGACAAGGGCATGAGTGACCGTGCGTAAAGAGTCCCGATCCAGAAAGGGACGCAACTGGCGAATCAGGCGAACCTGATGAAAAATCCTCCCGGTCACGGCCGTCAAGTGCTCTTCTAAAGACAGCCGTGAGTCCAGGAGGACGCCCAAGTTGCGAGCCCTCTCCGTGGGGGCCAATGATTCGCCCCCAATAGTCAGTGATGGTGTCAACTGACTATATCGGGACGTCGGAAACCACAGCCACTCAGTCTTGGATGGGTTGAGCCTGAGCCTGTTCCTCCCCATCCAGATCCGTACGGCCTCCAGGCACCGGGACATCACTTCAAGGGCATCGTTGGGGTGATCCGGGGTGGAGATGTACAGCTGGGTGTCGTCAGCGTACTGATGGTACTCCACCCCGAAACCACGGATGATCTCGCCCAGCGGCTTCACATAAATGTTGAACAGGAGAGGCGAGAGGACCGACCCTTGCGGCACCCCACATATGAGGGGCCTCGGGGTCGACCTCTGTCCCCCTGTCAACACAGACTGCGACCGGTCAGAGAGAAAGGAGGAGAACCACCGCAACACAGTGCCTCCCACCCCCAACTCTTCCAACCGGTGCAGCATGATACCATGGTCGATGGTATCAAAAGCCGCTGAGAGATCTAACAGGACCAGGACAGAGGAGCACCCCCTGTCCCGAGCCCTCCAGAGATCATCAACCAACGCGACCAATGCCGTTTCCGTGCTGTACCCGGGCCTGAAGCCCGACTGGAACGGATCCAGATACGTCGTTTCATCCAGGTGCTGGGGGAGCTGTTGCGCGACCACACTCTCAACAACCTTCGCAACAAAGCGAAGATTGGAGACCAGACGATAATTTACCAACATTGCCGGGTCCAGGGAAGGCTTCTTGAGGAGAGGCCTCACCACCGCCTCTTTCAAGGCGGCGGGAAAGTCACCCTCACTCAGCGAAGCGTTTATAATCCCCTGGAGCCAGCCTCGTGTCACTTCCCGGGAAGCCAGTACTAACCAGGAAGGACACGGGTCCAATAAACAAGTGGTCGCGTTCAGTCCACCCAGAATCCTGTCCACGTCCTCAGGGGTCACAGGATCAAACTCATCCCAGATAACATTCTCAAGACCTGCCCCTGTCTCTCCCCCTGAGACTACCCAGTCGGAGTCCAAATCTTCCCGAATCTGAGTGATTTTGTCATACAGATACTGAACAAAATCCTCGGCTCTACCCTCCAAGGGGTCCTCCCGCGCTTCCTGGTGGAGCAGGGAGCGGGTCACCCTAAAGAGGGCGGCCGGGCGATTATCTGATGACGCAATAAGAGCAGCAAAATAACTACATTTCGCTGCTTTTATCGCCACTAAGTAATTCCTAATGTGGGATCTTACTAGTGTCCGGTCAGATTCAAGAAGACTGGCCCTCCAACTACTCTCTAGGCGTCTTTTCCGGCGCTTCAACTCCCTCAGCTCCTCGGTAAACCAAGGAGCCAATTGAGATCGGCGCCGGGTCAGAGGCCGCAAAGGCACGACCCGATCCAGAGCACCAGCAGCCGCCCTATCCCAGGCGGCCACCAGGTCTCCAGTCGAGGCGTGTGCCAGAACCTCAGGAAATGGCCCAAGCTCCGTCTGGAATCTGTCAGGTTCCATCAGGCGCCTGGGGCGGAACCATCTGACCTTTGGGTGTCCTCCTAGACTCACAGCTAAGATTAGAGCAACATCTGACGGCTGTGGCTAGGGAGACCTTTGCACAGGTTCGCCTGGTGCACCAATTGCGACCCTACTTGGATCGGGAGGCTCTCCTCACAGTCACTCATGCCCTTGTCACCTCACGATTAGATTATTGCAACGCACTCTACATGGGGCTACCCTTGAAAAGTGTTCGGAGACTACAGTTGGTCCAGAATGCAGCCGCGCAAGCTATTGTGGGTGCACCCAGATACACCCACATTACACCAATTCTCTGCGAGCTGCACTGGCTCCCTATTGGTCTCCAGGCACAATTCAAGGTGTTGGTCATTACCTTTAAAGCCCTACATGGCTCAGGGCCAGGTTATCTTCGAGACCGCCTTCTACCACATAGCTCCCAGCGACCAATAAGATCCCACAGAGTTGGTCTCCTCCGGGTCCCGTCAGCTAAACAATGCGGCTGGTGGGCCCGGAGGGGAGGGCCTTCTCTATGGCTGCCCCAGCTCTCTGGAACCAGTTACCTCCTGAGTCTGGACCACCCCCACCCTATTGGCCTTCCGAAAAGTGAAGACCTGGCTTTTCCAGCAGGCCTGGGGCCGTTGATCTTGCTGTTGCGATCTTGTGAGATCCGGCCATGAATGGTATGAATGGGTTTTAATGTTTTAATTTTTAAATGTTTTTATAATGATTTTCTAAATGCATTGTAAGCCGCCCTGAGTCTCCGGAGAAAGGCAGCATATAAATTGAACTAATAATAATAATATTAATCAATCCACAATCAAAAATGGATAGGTCCAGAGCAAAAGATGGTTGGACAACATGCCTTCAATTTAAATAAAACTAAAGTAAGTACAATTAGTGTGACTAGAATTGTTTGAAAATAATTTATAAGAAATATTTTAGATCCTGAATGAATGCAGTACATATACCATGTAAGGTTTTTTTGTATTTCTGTAGCATTCTGGAAAAAAATGTATCTGCTTTAAGAGCAAAATTAAAGATGTGTAGTTGTAATGATTTCATTAAAGCAGCATTTGTGGATTTTTCATACTTGTGTAGAAAAAATACATGTATGTCTGAATGATACTTTTTAAAAATTATTTTACGTATTCGCAGTAAACTGGTCACATCCCATGTATTTAATAACTTCCCTTATTTGGTAGAACTCTATGGTATGTACCTAAGATTTGGGGGAATTGTGTACGTTTCACAATTTGTGGGAATTGTGTACGGGCAATAAGTTTTGCACCCTTGACTTGTATAACATGAAATAAAGATAAAAATAAAATATAGATAAAATAATTACAATAATTACTTTTTAAATTGTAATATGGATGTCTGTAAAGTTAAGTTAAAGATAATTACAGGAAGTCTCATTCTTGGAAATACATACTCTAGTTTGACTATTTAGTCCATGTAGTTATTAATAATTTGTTTGCTTGTTTTAGGTTTACATATGCAGTAACAGCATTCAAGCTCGACATCAAGTTATTGAACTTGCTCGTCAGCTCAATTTTATTCCTATTGATTTGGGCACTTTATCATCGGCAAGAGAAATTGAAAATTTACCTCTTCGATTGTTCACACTCTGGAAAGGACCAGTCATAGTGGCTGTTGGCCTAGCCACCTTCTTTTTTATCTATTCCTTTATTAGAGATGTAATACATCCTTACGTGAGAAATCATCAGAGTGATTTTTATAAGATTCCTATTGAGATTGTGAACAAGACATTGCCAGTTGTTGCAATTACTTTATTATCTCTAGTGTATTTATCAGGGCTCCTGGCAGCTGCTTATCAACTTTATTATGGTACTAAATACAGATTGTTTCCATCTTGGTTAGAGAACTGGCTGCAGTGTAGAAAACAGCTTGGGTTACTTAGTTTTTTCTTTGCAACAGTTCATGTTGTTTACAGCCTTTGCTTGCCTATGAGGAGGTCAGAACGATACCTATTTTTAAATACAGCTTATCAACAGGTAAGGAAAATGTCCTTTTTGGATCAAGTAATTCAGAACACCCTGCATATGTGATTAGTAATTTGAGATGTGTTGATCATTGCCTTAATATTTCTTCCTGCATGAAAAAAACATTCAATTATGGTTTTTAAATATGTTAACATTTATACTATGTATGAAGTCACATAATTATGTAGTGATGAATAATAATATATAAAATTACTCATTTCTTTTTAAAAAATTGATTTAGCTTCAATAATGTTCACCCTCCTGTTTCTGAAAACTGCTCATAACACCCCAAATGACCAATTTAGTGCTATAAACAAACTATTCAAAATAAGAGGAATTACAATTGATTACTTACTTCGCATAATGTATTCTTCTTCTAAACATGAAAGGGCCAGATGTACCAACCAGATGAAGTTTCTAAAACTATAAAGCCTCCTTACTTAATTAAATAACTCTCTCCTCTTTGCTCCCATTCATGATAGTTCACCAGGCACACTTTAAAACCCTTCAGATTTTCCAGTTAATTTTAAATAATTTTCTATAAATGTGTTAAACTTGTTAAAGATTCAATAATCTCTTTTTCCAGGTCCATGAAAATATTGAAAATTCCTGGAATGAGGAAGAAGTATGGCGAATTGAAATGTACGTCTCTTTTGGAATAATGAGCCTTGGGCTGCTTTCTTTGTTGGCTGTGACTTCCATTCCATCAGTAAACAGATCATTAAACTGGAGGGAATTCAGTTTTATTCAGGTGTGTACTAAATTGAAATACTAAATGTAATTAATCTAATCTAGTAAAAGACTTTAGTACCATTCAATATTGAAAGATTCAATCTTGTGTGATCTGGACTTCGTGCACGCAGGAGCGCTGGAAACCGGAAGACCAGCTCCCTGACACGCTACATGAGCCGGAAAGCTGAGCTTCTGGTTTCCGGTGTGCGCATGCGCGTTGCGTGCCAGAAACTGGAATCTCAGCCTCCTGGAGCAGTTTCCGGCGCTCCCACATGCGCATGCTAGGGAGCTCCTCTTCCAATTTCTGATGCGCACACGCATATGCTCCCGTTTCAGCACTCCGAAAACATTCACCAACATTGCCCTATGTCATTTATATTATTTTAAGATATTTACAATTCCATTACAGTGTCCTAATACCACAAATTATAGCCCAATTAATATCCCAATATACATTTTAGGAATGCATAAGAATTATACATGGAATATATCTACTAATTAATTTATTATTTATTGTTGTGTTTGTTTTGGGGTGGTCTTTATGTAAAACTATGTTCATAACTATTTATTCAAATAAGTAAACTCTGTTTCTTGTTTCACTTTTTAACAGTAGAGTATATTTCATGTTCTATACTAATCCAGTAAAAATTGAAAGGCCTTTCCAATGAGCATTTGAATATTTAAGAAGGTTCCATTCATTTTTCACTTTCTTTTTGTTAATTGCAAAAGTTAATTGGGGTCATCACACTAAAAATTATTAGACCAATTTTCAAAATACTGAACTCTAATTTTTATTGTATGTTCACAAGTCCTTTAGCCATGTTCAGAGTTTATTTTTATTCAGTATGTTTTGTATACTAAAATATGGACGAAACCTAATCTATTTACCGTATTTTCCGGCGTATAAGACGACTGGGCGTATAAGACGACCCCCAAATTTTCCTGTTAAAATATAGGGTTTGGGCTATACTCGCCGTATAAGACTACCCCTCTTCCAATGCACACCAAATAAAAATTAAAAAAACATCAACTGGCTCACCCACAATGTAAAAGCAGCTGTGCTAGACCCAAAATGGCCCCTGAAACAAGCAGGAACCTCACACAGCCACAAAAAGCCACAAAAAAACAACTTTCACACTTTACACACACACAACACAACACAACACAACTGGCTCATCCACAATGTAAAAGCAGCTGTGCTAGACCCAAAATGGCCCCTGCAACAAGCAGGAACCTCACACAGCCACAAAAAGCCCAAAAACCCAACTTTCACACTTTACACACACAAAATTCCACATACAGCTTTGTGAGATTTTGTGTGTTTGTGTAGTTAGAGTGAAACACTACAGAAACACACTAAATCTCAGAAAGCTGCACAAATATTATTTTATTTTATTTTATTTTTATTTTTATATGAAAGCTAAATTTAAAACTTCCTAAACTTTAAATGGCTAGGTCTAAAAAAGAACAACTAAAAAAAACCCCAATTAACTATTTTTTTTTTAAAGATCCCAAAGGGGAAAAAAACTTACCCAATAGAACAGGGGTCTCCAACCTTGGCAACTTTAAGACTTGTAGACTTCAACTCCCAGAATTCCTCAGCCAGCTTTGTTTTGCTGGCTGAGGAATTCTGGGAGTTGAAGTCCACAACTCCCTGCCTGCTTGATTGCAGGCAGGGAGTTGCTTGCTGATGGAATGGATTCAGGCAAGCGAAGCAAGGCAAGCAGCTAAGGCAGTGGTTCTCAACCTTCCTAATGCCGCGACCCTTTAATACAGTTCCTCATGTTGTGGTGACCCCCAACGATAAAGTTATTCCTAAAACCATCAAAAATATGTGTTTTCCGATGGTCTTAGGCCAGGGGTCCCCAACCTTTTGGACCTCAGGGACCACCAACTTCATAATTTTAAATTTTGCGGACCACTAATACGAATCCAGTGCACCGCTTGCTGAAGCACCTGGACTCCCAGTACGGGATGGGGTCCTTCAGGCACTCTCCCTCCTGTCTGTCTCTCTCTCTCTGTCTCCCACTCTTTCTCTCTCATTCTCTCTTTCTCTCTCTCTCATTTTCGCTCTCTCTCTCTCCCTCTCTTTCTTTCTCTCCCACTCTTTCTCATTCTCTCTTTCTCTCTCCCCCTCTCTCATTCTCTTTCTCTCTCCCCCTCTCTCATTCTTTCTTTCCCCCACTCTTTCTCTCTCTCCCCCCTCATTCTCTTTCTCCCCCCTCTTTCTCATTTTCTCTCTCTCTCTCATTCTCTCTCTGATTCTTTGATTCTCTTTGATTCTCTGTCTCTCATTCTCTCTTTCTCTCTCTCTCTCTCTGATTCTCTGTCTCTTTCTCTGTCTCTCATTCTCTCTTTTTCTCTCTCTCTCTGATTCTCTCTGTCTCTGTCTCTTTCTCTCATTCTCTTTCATTCTGTCTTTCTCTCTCTTTTCTCTCTCTGTCTCACTCTGATTCTCTCTCTCTCATTCTCTCTCTGATTCTTTGATTCTCTTTGATTCTGTCTCTTTCTCTGTCTCTCATTCTCTCTCTCTCACTCTCTCTCTCTGATTCTCTCTGTCTCTTTCTCTCATTCTCTTTCATTCTGTCTTTCTCTCTCTTTCTCTCTCTGTCTCACTCTGATTCTCTCTCTCTCATTCTCTCTTTCATTCTTTGTCTCTTTCTCTCTCTGTCTCATTCTGATTCTCTCTCTTTCTCTCTCATTCTCTCTCTCTCTCATCTCATGGGCAAGCCAGTGTCTTGGGGCTGAGAGGAAGTCAAGCATCTCCCTGAGAGACTGAGGGCCGAAAGAAGTGTGGGAGCGAAGCACTACTTGAACTTGTGCGGCATGAGCATTCGCCTTGGTATATTTGCGCCAGCCGATGGCCAAGGCAGCCCTCATCTGTCTGCTGAAAGTGCAGCATCAGGATTCTGCCTTGCTATATTTGCGGCGCAAGGCAGCCTTTGTTTCCTGCTGCATGGGACTCAGAGCGGTAAATAGCGTCTGGTCCGGAGAGCAGCTGGATTTTGCTCTCTAATCCAGATGCCAAATCGGCCCCCTGCAAACTCTCGTCTCTCGAGGAGCGTTCCCTGAAGCGGGGCTGGAAACTTTGGTTGGACTGCTTGAGAGAGGAGAGCTTGCAGGGAGGCGATCTGATGTCTGCAATGGAGAGCGGCATCCGGCTTTTTCTCTCCGCTGTAAGAGCGCTGTAAGAGTGGCAGCCCTCATCTCCTAATGCTTGGGACTGCAAAATCCAGCTGCTCCCCGGACCAGTCACCATTTACCGCTCCGAGTCCCAAGCATTAGGAGATGTTCGTTTTTCTGTATTGCACCACCTGCAAAACCCCTGTGAAAGGGTTGTTTGACCCCCAACCACTGAGCTAAGGTAAGCAAGCCGGAGGGGGAAAAGTTTTTCCCTTCTCCGTGGCTCTGGCGGTCCCAGCTGAATTGCCTGATTAGCAGGCAAAGCTGGGATCGTCAGAGCTTAGATCGCCAGAGCCATTTAAGGTCTTTCGGGCTGGTCTGCCTGGTTACAGGAGAACGACACTCGGCGTATAAGACGACCCCCGACTTTTGAGAAGATTTTCATGTGTTAAAAAGTCGTCTTATACGCCGGAAAATACGGTATATCTATGTTTATAATAGTTTAAGTTTTTGTAAATAACTTTTAATAGTTTGCTATATGTGGAAATCATGATGTTAACATTTTAATTTGTATTTGTTTCTCTTTTCAAATCTCAAAGTCTACACTTGGATACGTCGCTCTTCTCATAAGCACTTTCCATGTATTAATTTATGGATGGAAAAGAGCCTTTGAAGAAGAATGCTACAGATTTTACACACCACCAAATTTTGTTCTTGCACTTGTCTTGCCTTGTGTGGTAATTCTGGGTAAGATAATTTTGCTTCTACCGTGTATAAATAGGAAACTGAGAAAGATTAGAAGAGGATCGGAAAAAAGACAATTTACACAAGATGGAAATGGATCTGATTCATATCCCTCACCAGAAAGAATTACAATCATGTGATCATACAATGAAAATATTACCACAATGTTTGTCCCTTTAAATGTCTGTATTTAATACTGTATAGGTTTTATTTTAAACTGAAATATCTCAGGCATTAAGTGATATTATCAGAATATAAGCAATACAGGTGAAAGCAGACATTGCATTTTCAGCATAATAGATAAGAATGAATATATTTTGAAGGATTTGATTTGTGGCAAACTTAAGCAACTTCTGCCATTCCAAGATTACAGATTTAAACAAATGTAACAGATAACAAGTTCCATTGAATTTCAGTAAACTTTACTCAGAATAAATCTCTTTCGGGTGGATTTGCTTGCAATCTATTAGATGTAGCTTCAGTTAGCATACAAGACTCAATAAAGGGGCCTCAGAGCCACAACCACACTCATACAGTCCTCTAAAAGTTGTCAGCAAGTTGGAATTACTCTTCAGATTTTTAATACTATTAACAACAATTCATTTTAAATTAATCAAATGTAAACCTTTTTATTTATTAGCTTACAAGTGAGTGTGACTCACAACAATTAAAACAAACTGTAAAAAATAAATAAACAAAACAGGATACAGCTACTCTGAAACCATTATTATAAATTCAATAAAACATCAATTGCAGCTGGTTAAAAATAAAAATTGAATATCCATTTAATACTGCCATTACCAATGCTCATGACTACTGCAGACCTCTAGGAACAATGGCACAGCTAAGTCTTCAGGTAGTTACCAGTTCTTTATTCTGGTCCTGCCTATTCATTGGGCATGCTCTGTCATAAAGGCCAAATTTCTTTCTTGCTTCAAACTAACTTTAAAGCTATTATAGATTTCAGCACTTCAAGAGATAAGTCTACTATAGCAATTTTACCTAATTATTTTTCTACTTTCTGGCTTGCATTCTTAATGCTCTGATTATTAGGCTAAAGATGAGATACATTTGACATCATTCTCTGATATCATTGGACAGCTGGTATTACTGTTCGTCTTCAGACCCCCTGAAGCGTTTTTTCCTTTGATACAGCACTCTCTGCAGTCAAAGATGTAGCTGAATCTAGCCATTATTTAAATTTCATATAGTACCCAAACCCAATGCTAGTAAATTATGGAAAATTAAAAAGTCAAGCAATGCAACTGGGCTGGAGCACTGCGACTGGATCCAGTTATGGCCATTCAAGGCCGTGTTTTTCACTTGAAGGAAAGGGCAAACAAAAGTGCAGTTACCTGCTAAAATGAGAAATATAAACGTGTACAATATGGTGGTACTTCTACTTTGAATCTGGGAATTTCCTTGCCTCAAAACTGAGAAGTATATTTAAAAGTTTTTATTTGAAATTTTTAAGAAAGCCATTATAGAGTTAGTATTTGTAACTGTGTTATAGTTAAAAGCTATTAATTTCTTTTAAATGTTAAAAAAAAACAAAGCATAACTATTGGTCCATAAAGGAAATGACTAGTTGAACAATAGCTTTATTAAGATTCAACCAAAAAAGTGACAATTGTTGAATTGTCCAAGACTGTTCAGCAAGCAACATATACCATATAGGGGATTGAAGCAGATAGTTTTAAAAAAAGCAGGTGCTTTTGTGTTAGGTGTCTCCCCCCCCCCCCCCCAAAAAAAAAAATAGGATAAATTGAGAGTCAATAATCTCTGTTTTGCTGGATTCTTGGGAGTAAGTGAAGTACGAAATGAAGGATCTGCAAGCAAAATGCACATTCGGACAGCTCCAAATACCTAACACTCTAAATCTGACCTACACTGTGTTTTATGCAAATAATAGCAGCCATTAATTTGTTTCTGAGTGCTAAATTTAATCTAACATGCTTCATCCACAGCTTCCATTTTAGATTGATATAATCAGACATCTGGTCTTGTTTTCGGCTTTTTCACTTTCCCTTTATTGTCTTATTGTAGGATTTTGTTACAATTCTGAGAAAATTTTGTAAGCTTAAACAATGTTAGATAATATTTTGAATTATACCTAGCTATGCTTTTTGATATCTAAATTAGCCAGAGGATTGCAATTAGCAGGCAGAATGAAACAGAACTATGTGTGAAGCATGTAAATTAAATGTAATCATGGCTGTTAAAACAATAATTATTTCAATTAGAAATATAGCAGGAAAATATGTAAATATAGACTCAATCATCCAGGACAAAAGCATGTAAAAAGGTCAAATCATGGCAATTGGACCAAAGTTTATTAAATTTAATAAACTTTATAATTTATTCAGTTTAATAAACTTTGGACTAGTTGCCATGATTTAACCTTCTTACATAGCAGGACCAAGTTAGACTTTGGAAGGCAGCCAGAAATATATCCTATACTATGAGGAATTTGGTAATTTATCAGATTACCAAATGTAATCCATATTCTCCATACATACACACACAGAGATAATTTTTCACTCAGAACAACTGAAATATAACAATTTTACTTTATGGAAGAATTTCACAACTTTTATAGATAGTTAACAATTAATAGTAAGGATACTATGAATGTGGAACATCTGATTGAAAGTACAAGTTCTAACAAATTAATCAAATAGGACAGATCTAAATCTTCCATTTACATCAATATAACATTAGATATTCCTATGTAGAGATGCACAAGTCTAATACTTATTCTCTTGATGTATAAATGCAGATCACTAGAATTCTTAATATACATCTTGATTCTGATATAGTGATACATGTAGTAGATGGAAAAGTACCAATTATCTTGCCTTAACTTTCAATAGTCATAGGCAATACCTCCATACTGACTAAAACTTTTGAGTAAAGTGAAGTATTCAAGTATAGCGTTTGATTATCTTAACATAATTAAAAAGACTGTGTTTTGTTGGAATACACCAAGGTACTGTTGGCTACTTGTAATATTTCCTGTGATATTAATAGTATATTTTAAATATGCTTTGTTGTGCTTTATTAGTGTGCTATTTATGATCTTTTCATAAAAACAGTCAGTTTCTACAATGAATCTGCTAAAACCAAATTGACATAAATTGATTAATATTAATTCATTTTTGAAGCTTCAGTTGTAGGTTTTTAAAACTTTCAGTATCAGAATCTCGATCATTATTCTGTTCTTTGCTAATATGTTCCTTACTTCACCAGCTAGGTGTGTTCTACTATTGCCATTTAAAGTCAGTGAAGATTCTCAAAACATACAGCCAAAATAAATGTTATTTGTTAAGTCTTTTAAAAAATCTGAAGCAGCCTTCTGTACTTTTACGATACATCATCTGTGCAAATATTTTTCTAGGGAGAGAACTAAGTAATCAACATTCAGTTGAACCACAAAAAATGGGCCCTGCACATGGAAAAACGCTAGGAAGAGGGGGGGGCGGGAATGTAATACAGGCAATTGGGAATTTTTTATCAGAATTGCAGTATTGCTGGGGAAACAAGGATTAACCTTATTATGCCCGTGAATTATCATCACAATTAAATAATGTACATGTAGTTTCTTCTCATCTTTTCTTAAATGATGCCAGAATACCAGGTATATGTGAAAAATGTATTCATTACTCACCATCACTTTGTATATTATATTAAGAGTCCTCAGACAATGGAACATATATTATTATTTTGAATTATTTTCATATTTTACTTTATATTTGCAGTATTTAAATGCTTTTTGTAACAATTATTGCATAATAGATAATAAAATGTTTAAATAATTTTCTATCTTTAAAAACCAGTACTTGTTTGCTAGTATTGATATGGATGGCAAGAATAAAAAACTCCTTTTATTATTGCTATTATACCTATAGACTGGAAATTCATACAGATTAGAGATAGGATTGTTTAATTTGCTTTCTTCTGTTTTTAATAAAGCAGGACTGAATTCCTTAAAGCAGCAACATCTTTTTTTAGGTTTGAGCAATTGCTGTGCTCACATGATACTTAAGCACTTTTGAATCGTTGTTGATGGGTGCACAGCCATAACTACTAGACTGGTACTATGTTGCTATGTTACTATGTTGTAGGAAAGAGATTAAATAGGAAGCAGTGATTAACATAATTGTATATGAAACAGAAAGGGCTAAACTATTATCAATTAATTTGATTTTTGATTTTTAAATTAATTTTTGAGTATATTAACAGTCAAAACTCTAAAAAATTGAAGTGAAAAAAATGGTCCCCAAAAATTAAACAAGTCAATTTAAAGGGAAACTTTTAAATTCTTGTTTTTATCAGCCTTTTCTTCCATGATTTTTTTTCCTTTCCTTAGCCATGACTGACTTCTTGTATATGTTCTATACTTGGTATAATACTATATACTATATAATATACTATACCACATTTCAGGTGGTTGTTTCAATGCCTCTTAAATTTCACCATATTTAGAATATTAGATGTTAAAATATTTTACTCTTATAGTTGTGCCATAGCTGGCTTGAATCTAGGCAACCTATTAATATCAGTGGATCAGTTTTTGACTAAGTCTCAGATAAGCTCAAACATCCTTATTTGTTCACAACTTTCCTGCATTTTCTTTAAATATATTTAAAAAAATAATTAGAAATATGGTGAAAAAGTTGCAGAAAGGATTACCTACAGAAACATAAGTAAACTATCACCAAAAAATCCAAACAATTATCTTCCTAGTTATTAAATGACCTGAAACTATTTAGATTGTTTTCTAATATGATCTATCAAATACTTTTTATTCTGTTTCTTTCTGTTCTAACTATGAGTGGAGCAGCTAAACCTGAGTAAATCCTCAACATAATACAAAGTACATGTAACAACTATCAGTGCTGCCTCATCTTTGACCACTATGTAATGTTAGATATCTATAGTTATTATTAGACATAACAGGAATTTTTCAGGGTGCATTAGATTGAAATGAAGATAAACGTTTCTACTGTCCAGAGTCTATTACGGCTATAGCAAATTTAAATAAATCAATAAAATTCACAATGAAGGAAATTCCATCCCTGTAATTTCCAATAAAATTTATTAGTAAATTGTTGTTCCCCAAGAAGTACTATATGTTCCTTTGAATCAAGTAAGGCTTCTAAATAAATATATTTGGAATCAGATTGACTAGATTCTGTGAGCTGGTTTTCTATTATCAGATTCTCACAAGAAATATAAATACTTATGCTACAAAAGCTATTGCAAGTCCAGGATTTTTTATTTCCACTTGGTTGCAAATGCTCTGAAAATATTTTAACATTATATCACAGAATTTTTTAAGGAAAGTGTTCTTACAGAATTAAAAGCAGTTATTTTTCATATTAAAGAGAGATTAATTTATTTTAAATATACCAGATAATTAACTTGTATTTTTAGATAAAATAGCCACATTGAAATACAAATATGCTACATAGAATGTTATTACATATTGACTGCAGTTTTCAACCCACAAATGTACATTGTTTTTCATATGTACATGCCTTAAAAGCATACAAAGTAACAGAAGGATTGCAACCCAATTTATACAGTCAAAGTATATTTGACTTTAGTTCAAAGTCAAATATAGTTCAAAGCGAGTCCGTAGTATGACTCTAAGTTAACCAAAGTGTTCCTAGAATTAATACTTTTGCTAGATACTCAAATTTAATCGCCAAAATGTACATAACTAATTACTGTATACTATACTGTAAATACTGTATACTGTATACTGTATACTAATTATTATAAACTGTTCCTGCTCCAAGGTTATTTACCACAATGTGTTTGACTAAGAATGTGTTTTTGCTTAACAAAATAACAGAGTTGGAAGATACCTTAGAGCAGTGGTCCCCAACCTTTTTATCGCCGCGGCCCGCTGAGCGCGCGCAGGGGTGGGGACACGGCCCAGGAGCTTTTGCGCACGGCCCATTGCGCACGGCCCAGGAGCTTTTGCGCACGGCCCAGGAGTCTTTGCGCTGCAGCGTTCATGTCCCCCGGCCGCTGTGCGGCCCGGTGCCAGGTACTCCACGGCCCGGCACCGGTCCGCGGACCGGGGGTTGGGGACCACTGCCTTAGAGGTTTTCTAGTCCAACTCCCTGCTCCAGCAGGAAACTCTATACTGTTTCAGACAAATAGTTGTCCACTCTCTTCTTAATCTCTCTTAATTTCTTTTTACATATTCCTTATATTATTATATTCCTTATTTTTCTTATATTATGTGCTATTATAACAATTCCCAGGGCTTGTTAAGCTAATTTTGATTATATCTGACACAACCATTACCTTATAATATTGTCAAGCCATGATTTGTAGCTAAAGGACAATTTATTATAGCTTGTAAATTAATCTATTTTTTCCCCTTTGGATCTAACAGAAATGTGTGGAAATTTTCCATTATGCTGCGTGAAACGCAGGGAAGTACATAAGCAATTTAATATTCATACATTGCAGTATATGGGTCTAAGATCATTGTTAAACCAGGCCATTACACACACACACACACACACATACACACACACCTGTCATTACCCAATATTTTCAATGAAACTAATATTATTGCCATATATTTTGAATTGAGTAAAAGCCATATAATAAATATAAATTGTTTATATACTTTTAGAAAACTTCAAATATTTTCGATTTCTAAAAATATAACTTTATTTCTCATTACAATGCATTATAATATTCTAACAGCGCTTAATGTATGTGTGATATTCAAAACAAAATTTCTATGCATAATATAATCCTTATAACTAACTTTGAATTTTAATTTTTCATAGCTGTAAATGATTGGTTTGTTTCATTCTGTGTTTAAACTGTGTCTTGATTAGTGTTATTCAACTCTTTTAATTTTGATTGTTATTTGTTTACTGCATCTAAAGAGTACATTAGAGTTGAATTTATGTCAGATAAATTGTTTTGTGATTCTACTGCATTTTATTAAATAGTGTCTATTTGATTGTACCAGTATAAATTCTGAAATGCGTGCCCATTCTTGAACAAATGTGTGATGTTACAATCATAATAAACTTCCTTTGTGAAACAGATTTTACATATTCAATATGCATTTGTAATTATTTACTATGGATTTATATTATGTTCAGTCCAATAATGTTGGAAGTAGTTTAATGCAACAAAAATTCAACATGAAAATAAAACATCGTATCAATAAAACACAGCAACATCATCCTAAGAAGTGGCTACTCATCCAATTTATAGCAGAAAGGTTCCTATCACTATTTTTTTGTTCTAAATCTCTCCATTCTGTAGAATACCAATACCTTCTGAATATGGCAATTTTTACAGGATTAGCTAGACATTATGGAGTGGAAGTGTTAAATTTGTTGAATGACATACGGATGTTGATATAAAACACAAATGTTCAGAAACATTCTAGGATGCACCAGGTCATGAAAGGAATTCTTGAATCCATCCTTCTAACAAGTTTCTTGTATTCTCTAAAGGTATAGCATGATCGAGGTAGAAGCAGAAATAAGAAGATCCTAATGCTGCTCACAAAGGTGAATGACCTCTGTAGATTAATGAATAATCATTAATCAATTACAGCTCAGGCTACGATGTTGGGATAATTTGACATTACCAATAACAGCTGAAGAAATATGTCTGATATATCTTTTCCGCTCCATTGAAGGTTGTTTCAGAGAGTTCTCACAGCCCATCCATCTCTGTTGTCTATCAGTCTATCAGAGATTTCATAGTGCATAAGGTTTGCTTGATCGAATGAACATGAGATAAATATGCTAAAGTTATGCTTTTAAAATCCACCAGTAGTCTGGTATTGTTGAGTGATGTTCACTTTGATCTAGTTTTGCATTTAAAAAAATTCCTAGCTATATTGCAATGGGCAAGCCTCGTGTAACAAATTTGTAGCAAAATCTTTTTGAAGACTCGTTTTAATGGCAAGTTTTCTAGGGCACATAAATTCTTAGATTTAAAAGAAGGAAATTGGAGGGTGACCTTTATTCCTAAATTGTGATTAGGAATGGATATCTATTCTGATTACTTGTGATCTGATGGAAGGTGTTTCATCAGGATTATCTATCGGTAAATGTGCATGAGACTCCCCATGTTTGGGTTTTTGTGTCCTCAATAATTTTTGTCTGCTTATTTTTATATGATTATACTTTTCCCCTTTTTGATTTATTGTGTTTATATTGTGTACTGTACTGAGCCACAGTTTGAGTTAGGTGAAAATAAATAAAGCCGAAATGACAAAGTATGGATTCACATTGCAAATCCCACCATTTCATATCTGCATTGCAATGGTGCGCAAAAGTAGGGATAGAAGAAGCTGTAGCCCCTTACACATTTATAGCCTGAAGCAACGAAATACCTAAAGAATAACTATAGAAAGAAAATACATATGCAGCATTTCTGAATAGGCCTGATGGTATTGCTGACATGTCATGAACCTATTCTGGAAAACGACTTAATTAGCATTTAGGACAAGTAAACACTGACATGGAAAACGTTGACACTCTTGAAGCAGAGGTTGAGGATCTTCAGGATTGAGAATCTTAACATTGCCTTAAATTACTTTGCACTATCAGAATCGGAGATTTTGAAACTTCAAGAGAAACTTTTCCTGATAAAGGCTTTCAGCGGGGAAGGGGGGGGGGGAACGGCTGCACAAATGCTTTTTAAAATTACGATGACGATTTCTCATGTTTGTATCCATTTCTAATAGCCAGGAACTGGATCGATGGGTGAGCTGGGACGAGCTTCTTCCTTTTTTAAAGCTGTCGACGACACTGCTAATGTCGCTAAGGTTACGGCGGGGTATTATTAGTGCAGTAATGTCGTTTTGGTGCCATTCCCTTGGGGTGCTTTTCTTACGGGCAATGAGCGTGCTTTGGCTCGAAGGGAGCCAAACTTTGGCTCCTTAGGGCCTTTCCCTTCCGCAAAACTATAAACACCTTAACCTAACGGCGTCTTCGTAGGGCATATGATAAATAACGAAGCAGCTGAGGTGGCGGGACGGAGCAATAATTTCGGGGTTGCAGCAGCCCGAGGCCTCTTCCCTGGGCAAGGGGACCCATCGCCCCAGCTGAGGGCTTTGGTCGAGGGCGGGCTGGGTTTCTTTTCTCTTCGTTTTTTCCTTTGCCTGCCGTCCGCTCCTCCCATGGGACCGCTAACGCTTCTCTCGCTCCCATGGCAACGGCGGCCGGTTTGTGTTTTCCTCAGTGGAAGCGGCAGCGCTGAAGCCTGAGTTGCCGATCCTTTTTCGGAGCCATGGCTTCTCCGGCTCTGCCGGAAGTTTCGCCGATTCTCATGGTTCCCTCTTTCAGCGAGAAACACAGGCATCTCTCCTCTTCCTCCAGGCTGGATAGCAAACTCAGCAACGGCCTCGAGCAGGTGAGAAAGTTAGAGATTCAATTCCCTCTGTTTCTGCCCAGTTCTGGAGCGTCTCCTCCTCCTCCTCTTCCTCCTCCTCTTCTTCTTCTCCTCCTCCTCCTCCTCCTTCTTTCTTCTTCTTCTTCTCCTCCTCCTTCTTACTCCTCCTCCTCCTCCTCCTCCTTCCTCTTCTTCTCCTCCTCCTCCTCCTCCTTCCTCTTCTTCTCCTCCTTCTCCTCCTCCTCCTCCTCCTCCTCCTTTTTTTCTCCTCCTCCTCCTCCTCTTCCTTCTCCTCCTCTTCCTCCTCCTCCTTTTTTCTTCTCCTCCTCCTCCTTCTCCTTTTTCTCCTCCTCCTCCTCCTCCTTCTTCTCCTCCTCCTTTCTTCTTCTTCTTCTCCTCCTCTTCCTTCTCCTCCTTCTCCTCCTCCTCCTTCTCTTTCTCCTCCTCCTCCTCCTTCTTTTTTTTCTTCTTCTCCTCCTCCTCCTCCTCCTCCTTCCTCCTCTTCTCCTCCTTCTCCTCCTCCTCGTCCTCCTCCTTTTTTTTCTTCTCCTCCTCCTCCTCCTCTTCCTTCTCCTCCTCCTCCTCCCCCTTCTCCTCCTCCTCCTCCTCCTCCTCCTTTTTTTTTTCCAATTATTTGGGCCATTTAGCCAGGACTGCCAGGCCTTGCGAAACGGGTCCTGTCAAATGCAAAAAGTGGCAGTCAAAAGAGCAAGTGTGTTTCTCTTTTTTCCCCCTATACCACTCTTGAAATGTGGGGTTTTTCTACTGCATTTATCAAAGAAGGGTTTGTTGCATTTGAATCTGCCTGAGGGGTGTTAAAATTTCCTGATGGTTAGAACAATTAATCAGTGGCAGGACTTGCCTCCAGAGGTTGTGGGTGCTCCCCACAGCTGGAGGTTTGTAAGAAAAGACTGAACAACCATTTCTCTTAAATGGTACAGGCTTTCCTGCCTGAGCAGGGGCTTGGACTAGAAGACTTCCAAGTCCCTTCCAATCCTGTTATTCTGTAATTAACAACGGCTACCCCTCTCTCTTTCTCCTGGGAATGGTTCTGGAGAAAACCATCCATGTTCTTCTCTGAGGAGACCCAAAACAGACAACAGACAGTGGAAGAAAATTTAGGCAAGGGTAAACAAAAGTGCACTTTTATTTTGTTGTGTACGATAGCACTTATGCAGGGTATAGGAACATAAAGTAGACCTTAAAAACATAAACTAAAAGTAACAAGTCAGAGTGGGCAGGATGTTGGTGCAGAAGCAAACTGAGGACCAATACTCATTTTTTGTGAGACAGAAACAACTGCAGGTAGTCCTCAATTTACAACTACAATTGAGCTCAAAAGTAGTCCTAGATTTATGATCACAATTGAGCGCAAAATGTTGCTAAATGAAACATTGGTTAAGTGAGTTTTGCCCCATTTTACAATTTTTCTTGCCATTGTTGTTAAGTGAATCATGCAATTGTTATGTTAGTAATCTGGTTGTTAAATGAATCTGACTTCCCCATTGCTTTTGCTTGTCAGAAGATCGCAAAAGCTGATCATGTGATCCCGGGACACTGCAATCGTCATAAATATGAACCATTTGCCAAGCTTCTGAATTTTGATCATGTAAATATAGGGATGCTGCAGCGGTCATAAGTGTGAAAAATGGTCATAAGTCACTTTTTCACTGCCTTTTTGAATGGTCACTAAATGAACTTCAAGGACTACCTGAATTTAATTTAAATGTGAGCATACATGTATTACAGAATGATACTTGTGTATATATACTTACAGATAAATTCCTTACAAGACTTTATTCTAAACACTGAAGCCTTTTATTTTTTAAATGCTGAGACCATATCTTTTTTTAAAAAAAATCTATAGGACATGACATACACAAACACAAAACATATATTCCCTTTTTACAACAATTTTGCAGCGGTAATCTTCTCTTATTTACATTTCCCCCTTACTCTTCTTTAAATATATTTTCCTTATTGTCCCATTATCCCATATTTCTATATATATTCCTTCACATATAATACTATAACTATCAATTATTTTACAGGCATTTATCCATTTGTGACCTTCCCTCATTAATTCTTATATACTATTTCTACTCTCCAGCCAATTATACCATTTGTTCCATACTGCATAGCAATCTATATCTTCTTTTTCTTTATCTCCTTTGTTAATTTATCCATCTCAGCACATTCCAGAATTTTCCTTATCAGTTCTTCTTCAGTTGGCATCTTATCATTTTTCCAGTTCTGTGCATATGATATTCTTGCAGCCATTATTATATGTAAAATTCGATATTGTATTTCAATATATTTCCTAGTAAATATTCCCAACAGAAATGTCTCCAGTTTCCAATCTGTGGGTTGGTCAATTATTTCTTCCAGCCATTTTCTGATTTTGGCCCATTTTTGCAAAAGGGCATGTCCACCATAGATGGTAATACATTCCATAAGCCTGTTTTTACTTGCAACATGTTGGTGAACTATTCAGAAACATCTTGGCAAGCCTTGCCTGAGGCAGATGCCATCTGTAAAACATCTTAAACTGGTTTTCTTTGAATGTCGCAGACATAGTCAATTTTATATTGTTTGCCACATTTTTCCCATCTCTCCAATTCTATATTATATCTAAAAAAGTTTGCCCATTTAATCATTGTTTCCTTGGCGACTTCCTCTTCCATCTTATCTC